TTTGGGTTTAATGCAACTCTGATGCTATATAAAGGTAATATAGACCTTGTAAATTAGGGGTTCAGTCCTGCAAGACTACCTGTTCCCTTGGGGTGCTAATTGCAAGTGTTCCTCGTGTTCATTAATCCTGGTTTGATTATTCACCTACACAGGTTCACCTAGTGTGGGGTGGGGTTGTGTGGCTGGAAACTTGGTGACTTACAAAGGATACAAATGAGATTCAGGTTGTGAAGTCCAGAAGGGAGCATCTCTGGTGCTTTGGGATGTGTCACCTTCCTGGCACAAGGATGTTTACCCCAAACCCCAGTCTCTGAATATGGTAGGGGTTTTATGGAGGTTTTATTACCAATTAGTGATTGAATCATTAGCCACGGGGTGATTAACTGACCCCACCCCTTCCCAGAGGTGGGGAGGTGAGGCTGAACCCTTTAATTAATCATTTGGTTCATTTGGCAACCAATCCTCCAAGCTACTAATTAGCATAAGCATGGTATAGTTAAAGGGGACTTACTGTAAATTAATATCACTTAACCTTTATCAGGAAAGGTTTTAGGAACTGCCAAGAATGGGATGAAGGTCAAACGTTTCTGGTGTCACACTCGGGCTGTGCTGTCCATTATTTGCACTTTCCAATAAATTATGTATTTAAAAATTCAGTTACTTTATTATACTAGCCAATTCTGAATCAGTGGCCAGGAAAAGTGCAGGTAATAGAATGTTTTATCAGTTTGGTGTGGTGAGACACACCTGTAATCCCAGTAACCCCAGGGCCTGAGGTAGCTGCAAAGCCAGTCGGCAATTTAAGGAGCTACCATCAAAAAAAGCTGGTGATAGTGGTAGTGCCCCTGGTTTCAATCCACAATATTTTTTTTCCTAATATTTATGTTTTCAGCAGACAGTATGTGGTGCTGAGGATCGAACCCGGGCCGCATGCATGCCAGGCAAGCATGCTACTGCTTGAGCCACATCCCCAGCCCCACAATATTTTGACCAAATGTTTTAACTTCCTTTCTTTCAAGGATATTTGCTTTTTGGAAGATGGTAATTTTTTTATAGGGCCATTAGAGGATGTCTTCTTTTCCCTGTTTGCTTCGCATGTGTACTGTGGGATAGGCAGCACCTGTAATTGTGATTGCTTCCAAGAGAGAAGAGGACATAGGTGAATTTCCAGAAGCCATTGTTGGCTTCCTTGTATTATCTACTACAGTTGGGTAAGACAAATTACTATCAATTTAGCCTCCTACCTCAAGCTTTTGTCCAGATATATGACAAATTCAGCACAACAATGACTTACCTATTTATAATATAATTTTTAAGCCCAGCATGTATCACATTAAGCACAGACGACTTTTCTGTCTGGTGTAATGGTGCACATCTGTAATCCAAGTGACTCTGGCAGCTGAGGCAGAAGCATTGCAAGTTCAAGGTCTGCTTCAGCAACTTAGTGAGACCCCAAGCAACTTAGCAAGACCCTGTCTCAAAAAATATAAAGGGCTTGGGGATGTCACTCAGTGGTTAAGTGCTCTTATGTTTAATCCCCAGTACCCTGCCAAAATTAAGTCCCAAAACTTCTAATAACAAGTGAATATAAGCGGTAGCATCCTCCCCTGGCATGCATGCGGTCTGGGTTCGATCCTCAGCACCATATATAAACTAAAATATAAATATTAAAATTGTCTCTTTCTCTCTAAAAAAAAAAAAAAGTTAAAAAAAGAAAAAAATACATAAGCATGTGTGCATGCCTTTAATCCCAGTGGCTTCGGAGGCTGAGACAGGAGAATCACGAGTTCAAAGCCAGCCTCAGTTTTCCAGTCATTGGTCTTGTTTTTCAATTCTGTAATAGACACAAAAACACATTTTAAAATATTTTTTTGGTCTGAAAAAGCAATATCTCTTATTAGAAAAATACAAAATGCTCATTGATTTTTCTTGAATTTAATTCATAAGTTAACAGTACTGTCAGATGATATGAAGTTTGGGAATAACCCAGATTCACATGAAATATAAGGCAGAACAATTATAGTGCACCAAAAACAAACAAAATACCCCCACAAAAACAAAAACCAGAGACTGTACAGCACAAATAGATACTAATATCTTTGAGGGTAGGTGGACAACTTCTATTTGATGTCTTTTCTACCAATTTGGATCCAAAATTTCCTCATAAGGAAAGAGTGATTGTGTTTCATATGATAAAATACAATGAAGTCTTTTCAGGAAGAAGGTGTCAGGAAAAAAAAAAAGTTCGGGCTGGGGCATACAGCTCAGTGGCTAACAGCCCTAGTTTGATCCCTAGCACCACAAAAGAAAACAAAAAACATTCTGTACTTCTAAATATCCTTGAGCCCAGTAAACAGCCCTTGGGGCCTATTTAACTCTTAGCCTTTCTGTTTCTTCCCCTCCAGCTTTACCCTAGGCGCTATCAATTACACCAAACAAAGGAAGTCACATCCTATATTTCAAAAATGTCTTTAGTATAGGGAAAATTTAATGGGATCTAAAGTAACCCTCCCTAGATTATTCTATAACCATCTTTTTTATCGCCCTTAATTCTCTGCCCCTCCCCTTAGTTCTTTATGCAAAATAAAATGTATTCCTAGTAACCCTAATCCTATCTATCACCTCTCTAAATGTAGCATACCAGGTACACAGTTCCACACTTCTTATTTCTCAGTATATTTTTGAGATCTTTCTAAATATATGTTGAACTACTCCGTTTGCCACATGGTGTTTCATTGTAGCATAATCTGACAGTCGTTTGTTTTCAATTTTTTTGCTATTGCCAAAACCCAAAAACCTGAAATGAATAACGTCATAGGTAAGTCATCGCGTGCCTATGCAATTGTATCTGCAGGATGAATTCCCAGAAGAGCCATAGCTGAATCCAAGAGTAATTCTTTTGTTACTTATTGCCAAATTGATATTTTGTGATATTGTCTTCTAACTCTCAAGGGGTTGGACCAATTTTCAGTTTTACCACCAACGTATTCATATTTCTCAGTCTTACAAACTCAGTGGTTTTGAACTTCTAGGTTTTTGTTTTCCCCTACTGTGTTGGGAATCCAATCCAGGACTTCACACATGCAAGGCAAGTGCCCTCCAAAGAGCTACACATTTTGCCACATCATTTTCCAGAACCAAAATTTAAATACATCTCTCAAGATTCTGATGGGAGTAACAT